TAACATGCAGATTAATATATATATATATATATATATATTTCTCTCTTCTTTTGCATTTTTTTTTTTTTTTGTTATGTTCAAATTCAACTGCTTCTAGTGTTTGGGTCTCTGGGTCTCTGGAATAATTTTATAAACCCAAGATTTGATATAAATGGGATCTACAAAGAACACAAAGAATTGATATAAATGGGTCTGTTGTTGATGACCATTGCCATTTTGGATTGTCCAAATTATTCTATGTGTTCTTGGAAAATTATTCTTTGGATGTCCATGGCCATTCGACAGAGCTCTGTTCTTGGTAAGTCATGGTAGACAGATAGCCATCTTCTTCCCTCTTTCTCTCTATTTCTGAGTTTGTTTGTTTGTTTGTTTTTTTTTTTTTTTTTCATGAAAAGTTGCCCCAAAACGACGTCGTTTGGGGGCGCTACAGGAAAGGGCCGCAGATAAGAGCAACGGAGGATCCGGATTCCCAACACAATACCCATCTACTCACCTTCCTCATCAATCACAATACTATGAAATACCACATGTCTATACTTCAAGATTACTGAATAATTATTCGTAAGATTATAGCCATACTATTTTCAATCGCATTTTTTTACCTTCAACTTATAATGAGAATTAAAACCCACCTCTTATGATTATGTGGTCTCACTCCTATTGTGAATAAAGGGTAGAAAATAATTATATCACCCACAACACTCTTCACAAATTATATATTACTTTGTACAAAATTGCTATGTCTGAATAGTTAGAAATAAAAATTGTATATATTATTTTTGCTAATATGTAAAAAATTATTTATAAATATAAAAAGAATTATATCAAATTTGTTTGGCACAACTATTGAAGTTTGAATCTACACCAACAAACCCATGTTGTGGGAAGAGATCCAGATCCAACTCTTTGTGTTTTTGTTTCTTTCTCTTTCTCTCTCCTTTTTTTTTTTTCCTTTTTTTCTGGGTCTGTTGCTGATGATGATTATAAAATTATTCTTTGTGTTCTTTGTAGATCCCATTTATATCAATTCTTGGGTTTATTTTTTGTATTATTTGTGTTTTTGCTTCTTCCTCTTTCTCTGTTTTGTTTTTTTGCCCTTTTTTTCTGGGTTTGTTGTTGATGATGATTATAAAATTATTCTTTGTGTTCGTGGGAAAAATGGCCATTTTGGATGATGATTGTTTGGGTCTCTGGGCTATGCTCTGCTTCTAGTGTTTGGGTCTCTGGGTCTCTGGAATAATTTTATAAGCCCAAGATATAAATGGGTCTGTTGTTGATGACCATTGCCATTTTGGATTGTCCAAATTATTCTATGTGTTCTTGGGAAATTATTCTTTGGATGACCATGGCCATTCGACAGAGCACAGTTCTTGGTAAGTCATGGTAGACAGATAGCCATCTTTTTCCCTCTTTCTCTCTATTTCTGAGTTTTTTTTTTTTTTTTCTTTTTCTTTTCTTTAATGAAAAGTTGCCCCAAAACAACGTCGTTTTGGGGCACTATAGGAAAGGGCCACAGATAAGGGCGACGGAGGATCCTGATTCCCAACACAATGCCCATCTACTCACCTTCCTCATCAATCATAATACTATGAAGAATAATGCTTGGGACCCCCTTTTGGGGGTCACCCCCTCACCCCCTTTGTCATGTGGCAGGGGGTGATTGGAGGAGCAGGAAAAAAAAGAAAAAAAAGAAAGAAAATGTGGTAACCAATGAGAGAGAGAGGGGGTCAAAGGGGGTGGGAGGAAAATGGGGGATGAATCATTACTCTACTATGAAATACCACGTGTCTATACTTCAAAATTACTGAATAATTATTCGTAAGATTATAGCCATACTATCTTCAATCGCATTTTTTTACCTTCAACTTATAATGAGAATTAAAACCCACCTCTTATGATTATGTGGTCTTACTCCTATTGTGAATAAAGGGTAGAAAATAATTATATCACTCACAACACTCTTCACAATTGTATATTACTTTGTATAAAATTGCTATGTCTGAATAGTTGGTAATAAAAATTGTATATATTATTTTTGCTAATTGCTATGTCTGAATAGTTGGTAATAAAAATTGTATATATTATTTTTGCTAATATGTAAAAAATTATTTATAAATATAAAAAGAATTACATCAACTCTGTTGGGCACAACTATTAAAGTTCATACTTTCTTTTATTTAATTTTGAAAATTCGTGTTAGAAATTTGGTGCAACTCCTCTATGCACCAAATATAATAAAATTGACACCCCACGTATAGATAAACATCTTGAGCAGTGAAGTGAACTCCAAAACCTTCAAGTCGTGATTCGTACCTTTATAAACCTGTCAACATAGGTAGCTTAACCATTAATCCACAAGCAGTTGTATTGTCGAAGACTCGACATTCAAATCCTTCAACAATCATCGGCTGAGATGGTGTCAACTATTCTTGGGCTACAAACTTTTGGATTGCTAATCAAATTCATAATGGTTTCATGTCAGAACCACCAATTACCAAATCCTCAGGCGTAATTTAATCAAATTCAAACCTGCAGCTCGTATAATGCAGGTTAATAGAGAGAGAGAGAAAGAGAGAGAGAGAGAGAGACTATTATTTTCTTGAATTTGGAAGGATGAAAACATGGACAAAAGATACTTCAGAAACCTATCCAGTTTAAAAACTATATCAAAAGCAAGCAAAAATGCCACCAGAATTTTGTTATAGAAAGTAACATCTTCTAAATTTAAAACTATCACTAAGAATGAAGATCAAGAATACAAAAAAAAAAAGAAAACAAAACCAGTTTGTGTTAGAATTGTCACAGTAATTGAACATGGAGGTGGGAAACTCACATGAAACTCTCAATTTGTATGCTGAAAAAGAAAAAAAAAAAAAATTCACTCGACAATGGACTGGATGACGCCAGCACCCACAGTCTTCCCACCTTCTCTAATAGCAAATCTCATTCCTTGCTCATATGCCGCAGGCATAATTAGTTCTACCACCATTTTAACATGATCCCCGGGCATAACCATCTTCGACTCCTCATCCTTGTAATTCATAATTGAAGCCATCCTCCTGGCACCATCAGTAGTTCTCATGTAAAATTGAGGCCTATACCCAGCCAAAAAAGGCGAATGCCTGCCACCCTCTTCCTTTTTTAACAAATACACAATTGCAACAAACTTAGTATGCGGTGTGATCATCCCCAGCTTAGCCAACACCATACCTCTCTTAACATCAACCTTCTGTACACCCCTAAGCAAAAGCCCAGCATTATCACCAGCAAGTGCTTCATCAAGAATCTTCTGAAAACATCTTAACCCCAGTAACAGTTGTAGTTCTAGTCTCTCTCAACCCAACAATGGCAGCATTGTCCCCAGCTTTAATCCTCCCCCTCTCAACCCTCCCAGTACCCACTGTCCTGCGCCTAGTAATTGAAAACACATCTTCAATAGCAAAAAAAAAAGAACAAATCTTTCTGTCTTTGGAAAATTGGTATATAACTATCAACAGGGTCCATTAAATCATAAATTCTATCAACCCATTGATTTTCACCCCTTTTTATATTGGGGTTTACCATTAATGCATCCAAAGCTAACAATGCAGAACCAGAAACAATCGGAACATCATCTCCTGGAAATTCATAAGACGATAAAAGCTTGGGTACCGGTAATTCGAATAATTCTAAAAGCTCTTCGTTGTCGATTTGTTCCTGTTTATTCCAAAAAACCATGTTCGGAACCCTAAACCCTAAATCGACCTCTTAAAAAAAAAGAACAAATCTTTCTGTCTTTGGAAAATTGGTATATAACTATCAACAGGGTCCATTAAATCATAAATTCTATCAACCCATTTGATTTTCACCCCTTTTTATATTGTGGTTTACCATTAATGCATCCAAAGCTAACAATGCAGAACCAGAAACAATCGGAACATCATCTCCTGGAAATTCATAAGACGATAAAAGCTTGGGTACCGGTAATTCGAATAATTCTAAAAGCTCTTCGTTGTCGATTTGTTCCTGTTTATTCCAAAAAACCATGTTCGGAACCCTAAACCCTAAATCGACCTCTTTTGCAAGCAAAATGTGTTCCTTCATTTGCAACATTGGACTGTCGGTGCTGGAAACCACGAGAATCGCACCATCCATTTGGGCGGCGCCGATGGTCATGTTCTTGATGTAGTCAGCGTGGCCAGGATAGTTTACCCTTAATCTTACCCCCTTAATTTGCATAATTACTACTTTTCTCAAAACTATTCATCAAGGAAAAATTTAATCAATTCTTCTATATAATTTTATTTATTTATTTTTGTAAATTGAAAGAGTAACATAAAGGAGCTCATTTATATTTTTTATTATTTTAAGTATTTTCTTGAAAATTATTTTTTGTACAATATTCATAGCAATTGATATGCTAGTAATTTTTGTCCCTTCGGGGATATCCAATAAGCCAGTAATTTTTCGAGTGCTAGACATACATATGAAAGTATCCCTGAAAGTATACCAATAAATGCATAGGGCACCTAAAATGTCCAACGCACAATACAGTGGAACAAATTCAAATTTAAACACACATATGAACAACATATATGTAAATATATATATTCCCATTGGCGATGCCCTTCTGGGAGACCTACGACCTTGTGGAAGGGTACAATCCTCTGCAGCAAAGATCCATCTTCCTCTTCATCGTCATCAAATTCCAAGACATAACTGCCACAACATGAAAACTACGATCACAACCATATTCAAAGGCATTTTTAAGTTACAAATCCCACAAGCATCTATCATGAAGACCAAAATTCTGGGATTAGTTCCATTACCCCTAATAATACCAGTACACATGGAAATTATATCACTAATTGTTTTCCAAGCATTCAAGACCCCGTTGTTATTCTGCACCTTTTAAGACCCAGTATGTTCGCAGACGATACGTTCCTCGCCAACTCCAATAAATATCTTGTCAGGTGTAGGGACGGAATCTGACGGACTATTATCGCTGATGACAAAAAACAACACGTGGTGGACAGCATATTAAATCATGTTATCATTAACAAAAGTTTAAATAAAACTTATCGGGATAAAAAATAGTTCACTTTTTTACCCAATTACACTCTGTTCGGAAGAACAGAAGAGAAAATAAAAGAAATGATTACTTCAGTTAGGAGAGAAAAGAGAATGAATTCTTTTGTTTTAAACTCATGAGAGAAGAAAAGAAATTGTTTCATGTTATATTACCAAAATAACCTTTTATGTGTTTATAGGTGTCAACTTTTCTTTTACTTCTATATCTTGGGCAGTTTTGGTATTATGAAAAATAGTATTCCTTTGTTTACTTTTCTCTCCAATCTCTCCAATTTTGGAGAGATTTAAAATGAGAATTTTCAGAGAATTTGTTTTCTTTCTATTTCTTCCCAATTCACAATAATTCTCTCCTCTTTATTAGTCCAAAAAACAAGTGACATGAACAAAGAGAAATGCATTTTTTTTTTTTCTTTCCAAATTCCCCAATCCAAACCAACTGTAAATAATTATATCATCTGGCATTTCTATTTGGTTCACAAATGCCACAAAAATGCATTATTCCCATGTGTGCAATATTCAAATAAAAGAAAAGGGGAAGCCACTTATTCATCAGCCTTCCTCTGAAATTTCACGAAAAATAGTTGAGAACAACATGTGGCATGCAAAATGCAAGAAGTGGTCAGTTCGGCCGTTCACCACCAGGTTCAAATTTTAAAGAAGCTGGAGAATCAAATGCAAGAGCAACAAATCACAATTTGGATACGAAACACATGGACATACTGTTTACCTTGCGAGGTTGAACTACAGTTGCTTTATACAATGCAGTTGTTGACGGATATACAGCCAAAACTTGTTTCCCAGTAGGGAAATCTTGAGCACCAGAGGGATCATTCCGCTTTGGGAAAGGTATAATATGTGACCAAGGCAGCTTGTACTTTCTGAAATTAGAAATTCGATAAAGAATAAAAATCCGTCATTCAGATGTACTAATAAACCACATTTAATCAAGTAAACAGTAAGAAACAAAATTCATTGTCTAAACCCTCAATATTTCTGATCATTGAATTTAAGAAGTCAATCTAAAGAAATCCAGGAAGTCACAACAAAAGTTACCTCTGGCCGCCACCCTCTTCATCAAGTACTTCAAATCTGTATATAAAGATATATTAGACAATGATTAAACAGATATTAAGATAAAATAAAACAGTCGTGTTCTTCATTTTGTTCCATCACAATTAAGCTTCCAACATACGTTATAGCTCTTTCTCCTCCTACAAAACTACAGAGAACCTATTATAGGAGGATGGCTGTAGAGAATAACAACAAATAATATTTTCCGGTGTATACAAACATGACAGGACATCTCACCACCTAAGCCACATAGCAAGATATGTGCATCAAATTTGGAACATACAACCAATGGTGAACCCAAAAACCTTATCCAGTATCAAATTTGCAAGATGCAAGAACTTTGTTTTAAAACTTTCCGTATTGTTGCTACTCCATTCCGTGAGGCTTCCATGTCAATATAAAAGCCTCATCCTAATGAATGCTATCCCACATCAGCAATGCACTAAAGCTTAAAAGCCTTTGGTTCTATTAGAAGATGGCACACACTCTCTTGTCTTCCAACGTGGATGAGTTGTGTCATGTGAAGGGAGCTTGTGCCATATGCTGCAGGTCCCACCCGTGTAAAACTCACGAATTTGACCATATAAATTCACGGATTTGACCCATTTTTGCATCAAAGACTTGCACTTCAATAACAAGAAGCAATAGTCATTGCTTTCTCAACAAAACATATTAGATCAGCCAGTCTGGTGGCCGAATCAACTCTCTTGTCTTCCAACGTGGATGAGCTGTCTCATGTGAAGGGAGCTTGTGCCATATGCTGCAGGTCCCACCCGCGTAAAACTCACGAATTTGACCATATAAATTCACGGATTTGACCCATTTTTGCATCAAAGACTTGCACTTCAATAACAAGAAGCAATAGTCATTGCTTTCTCAACAAAACATATTAGATCAGCCAGTCTGGTGGCCGAATCAACAGAACAATGCGATTTATGCTTCATAGATTATCAGATTAAACTTCAAACATATTCCAAAAAACAAAAACTTAAAAAGAAAAAAGATAAGACGTGCGTGCATGTGTGTGAAAGAGAGGAGGGGTGCAGGAGAATGAACGGCATCCAAAGCACAGTCTTATGTTGGGTGGAACTGAAACTGAACTTACTCTCTAGTTTCCCTATCAAAACGAATAACTTTAACAACGAACCACTCATCATACTCAGCATTTTCTTGTGTGACCCTAGCTGCTACCTGAGAAATATAGTAGACGTTAGGGAGGGAAATGTAATGCTCCTCCACCGTAAAAGATTACACTGGGACTGCCTAAAGAATAAGTCAAGAAAAAAAAATAGAATTGGATGCATGATACAGAACAAATGCAAAAAATAAATCACTTCAGAACTTGATTAGTACTTGTTCACCCATCAGACTAGAAAGAGCATCCAGGTCGTTTCGCACTGATGGAGTAGGCCTTGAGATATCTGAATCGGCCGTCATTCGTTTCTTTTTCTATTCATTACCTTCTGCATGAACATAATACCTAATTTAACACTTAAACAAGAGTAAAGAAAGCAAAATGAACTTAAAGCATGGAAGCTTCACAAAGAACAACACAAAGGATGCATTGGAATTTAAGGCATGAAAAGTGCATTTCATTCACTCATTGACCTAGGCCATGTGTACAAGTGATCAAGATCAGACACCATTCCTTTTGTCCCAGATTTTACTTGGTTATGTAAGTAGTTAGCTTAATGTTTAACACAGCAACATGAGAACTAACACAATCACAATTTTTTTTTTTTTTTGATAAATGAAGAACTAACACAATCACATGTTCAAATACATATTCACTGCATTAGCTATCAGTGCATCTAGCATGCATATAGTATCATAAATGAAAGATTATGTATGTCCGATATGAATTTCTCTTGATGGATTCCTCATTACTGCCCTTAGGAGAAACAACATTTACAAGATACATCAGAGAATAGTAACATAGTGTTGCTATGGTCTAAGTAACGATGACTGATCATCCATCAAAGTTAACTACCTCCCACTATGTTGTCCACCAATACCTTTGGCAAGAGCAAAATGAAGAAAAAGAAGAAAGGAAGGAAGGAGGGGATGACAAAAAAGACATCCAAAAAATTTAAAAAAAAAAAAAAACTCAAGAAAAAAAAAAAAAAAAACACACATGCAAATTGTCAATTTCCTAAAACAAGTAAATTGAACTATCTACCTAAGGTGTCTGCTCATCACATAGCTATTTGAGACAATAACAGTCTCAGTGTTTTAGATAAAATATCTTTGATACAACAGCAAGCTTAGAGTGTCTTTTTCTTTGCGTTTTCTTGCAATCATTTCTAAGAGGCACCCTATTTTCCGTATTTTGGATCTTTAAAGGGCAACCTTCAAATACACAAACATATATATAGATTTCACAAGTCATCCATAATCCATTAAAAGGGTTCCAATGTATGAAAATGTGAAACAAAAGAGAGCACAAAGAAGGTAAATTGAAAATAATTACAAACCTAACATGTTGAGGAAACGTTTTCCATTGATGTGCTCCTCAGACTTATTGATGATATTTCCTGTTGAGCTACAAGGCCACACAAAAAGGATTAAAATCAGCACCCAACGAAAACAAAAAAACAAAAAAACAAAAAAACTGAAAAGGCTGATACTGAATAGCCTTTCATGTTTATATAGAAAACATTTTCTAGTCATGGCTTCCTCTTTTTCTTTTATGCTCCGTTTGCTTGATAGGCCTTTATGCTGAAGCTCTTAAAATAAAGTATATCATTTACTCTATTTAATTGTTAAGAAAAAAATGGAAGAATAATTACATACCCAAGACCAAATCTTAGAAATTTTTATTTACGTATTACCCAAGAAGACAAAAAGTCACAACCCAACAAAGCCGAATTGGCTAGTGCAATAACTAGTCTTAGCTCAAATAAGCTTGCAAATAAACTTAAAAGAGTGTTTTGAATGGTGGAATTGGCATTTGAAAATGGAATTTGATATGTTTCAAATCAAAGGAATTTATAATGGGATTTGAATGAGGGAAAAAAACTCATGAAAAATGGATGAATTTTATAGGAACTAAAATTAGTAAATTTTTTATCTATACCCATTACCCACCCAACCACCACTTCTTGTAACTTGCCTACTAGCTAATAAGGGCATCATCATCTTAAAAGAGTTTTCCTTCTCAATTCCTTGCCCGTTTTGCAATCCTATTTCTAAAAGAATTTGGCTCCAAACACTTTGCTAAAATTCTTCTAAAGTTTCATATTCCTTGAGGTTTCCCTTGTCTTTCTCTACAAACAAATGGATACCATAATAATGAATTTCCTCCAACCCCAACATTGAAAAAAAGAAAAAAAAAATCATATATTCTTTTCATCCAAACAAGCAGACCTAGAAACTCGTTCAAATAATCAATCTGGCCTGTATCAAAATAATCTAAACAATCATAAACCCACCTCTTCACAAAATAATACAAACTTCTTCAAGACTTCACACAAAAACAAATTTTCTTTTCAATCGCAAATATCCAAAACCCCTAAATTAACATAAACCCATCTCTTCACAAAATAATACAAACTTCTTCAAGGCTTCGCACAACAACATAATTTTTTTTTTTTTTGCCAATCACAAATACCCGAAACCCTAACTTAACATAAACCCATCACTTCACAACATAATACAAACTTCTTCAAGACATCACACAACAACGTAATATTTTTTTTCCAATCACAAATATTCAAAACCTCTAAATTAACATAACCCATCTCTTCACAAAATAATACAAACTTCTTCAAGCCTTCACACAAAAACATAATTTTTTTTTCAATCACAAATACCCAAACCCCTAAATTAACATAAACCCATCTCTTCACAAAATAATACAAACTTCTTCAGGCCTTTACACAAAAACATAATTTTTTTTTTCAATCACAAATACCCAAAACCCCTAAATTAACATAAACCCATCTTTTCACAAAATAATACAAACTTCTTCAATCTTCACACAAAAGAAGAAAAAAAAAATTTTAATCACAAATACTCAAAACCCCAAAATTAATTGAACAGAAGCCACGATCCACCTTGAGCATGATGATATATAAACCCTAAATAAACCGAGAGAGATAGAGAGAGAGGGGTTTACAGACCGGACGAGAGGGTCTTGGTGGAACGTGTTGAGAGGGGGCTTACTACGAGCCAAAGCGGCGTCAATGAGTCCAATCCGACAGTGCTTGTTCTGAGCGTACGAGTCCCTGGCGTGAGAAGGGACTTCATGCCCAGTCTCCACGCATTTGAACCTCCCATTCTCCAGTTCCTTGAATTTCGGCCCCCCCAGTAGGTTTTTCCTTCCTTTCCCTTTCCTTCTTCTTCTTCTTCTGCCTTCTTCACCACCTCTCTCTCTCTCTCGTCTCTGCAACACCGCCGCTCTGTTCTAGAGGAGAGAGACCCACAGTAGGCCAACATACTTGTAGAGTTAATTGCACTTGACACCCTCATATTTTACGTAAATAAAATTTCACATTTGCCTTTTTTGTCACAAATTTTTATATTATTAAATTATTTCTTTCAATATGTGTAAAAAAATTCTCTCTCTAGATTAGAGACTTTCTACCAACGGGTATGGTCTATGGGTTTATCCTTGGTTTTCCCTTCTGTTTCTAAGCCTCTCTTACCTTCGACTTTCGTAGCCTTCTTCACTATCTATTTGCTCAATATTTGTTTACTTCTTCTTTTTCAACCCTCACTTGTATAATCTCTTCAGTCTAATTCCATTTGATCTTTTTCTTATGGCGGACACCACGAAAGGGCCGACTCATCCCTTCACCATTAAGCTGGAAGAAGGCATGGATGAAAGTGTTGACAACTCAAATCTATGTCTGATTGAAAAGATTATGGTCCCAAAACTTCTCAACAAGCAAACGGTCTCTCGTATTATTCTTGGCACTTGGAAAACTAGAGCTGAGGTGATCATCTCTTCTTGGGTTAATAACATTTATTTGTTTCGCTTTCAAAATGAAGATGATAGAGCTTTGGTCTTGAAAACAGCCCCTTGGTCTATTAGGGGTAGCCTTCTAGTTCTTCAACCACTCGCTGTTGATAAAGCAAAAGTTGAGATGGAGTTTACTTATTGTGCCTTTTGGGTTCAGGTCTATGGTCTTCCCATGGATAAAATGACGAGACACAATCGACATATAATTGGGAATCGATTGGAAAACTCATCGGGATTGAAGCTCCAAATGATGGTTTTATACTCTCTCGTAGTTTTCTCATAATTCGGGTGGAGGTAAATGTCACACTTTCTCTACCTAGGGGGTTTAAGTTACATAGACAGATTAAGAGATTAATAGAGATGAAAGAGATCTCGATCTCCTTCAAGTATGAAAGACTCTCTCACTTTTGCTATGACTGTGGAAAAATTGGCCATGACAAAACTCGTGTAAATTTGTGTCCCGAGAGGCTGGTCGTCAATCTAGTTATGGTCCAGAGATGAGAACTAGGGTGGCCAGAAACATAGATTTACCAGTGGAATTTTATCGGCATCAGATTGATGAATTATATAACGCCTGCCTCTTACTTAGCCGTTAATTTTATGATTAATCTTAATTATGTATTTATCTATGCATTATATGCTTATTTATATGTTATTTGCATCATGTTTGTTGACAGATATGTTCATTTATGAAAAAGACCTGTCTGATTCATTAAATCGCAGAGTTATTAATTAACTAATAAACTAGGTGAGTAGAGTTGGTTCACCTTAATTAGGTCAAGTAGTAATTTAATTAATTAGCTAAGTAATTCAAGAAATGAGACTCTCAATTAATTAATCCAAGTTAAGTAACTTAGATATAGATATGTATATATATATATATAAATATATGTTGAACTCAATAAGAGTGAGAGAGAGAGAGAGAGAAAACCTGGGAGAGTTAAAGAGTGTTCTAGAGTTTGAGTGAGTAAACAAGAAGAGAAGAGAGGAAGGTAAAGGAGAAGAGGAGAATTTGAAGCAACTTCATCAAATTCTCTCATTAAGGTAAGCGTTCTTTCTAATTTCTTGCATGAGAATGAATTTTCATCTTGAATTCATGGAATTGAGGGAGAGAGTGAGGAGTTGGGTAGTATAAGTTCTGTTATAACCCTAATATGAGGAATTCTTTCATATCCTTGCCTGAATGGAATTACTCAAGCTCATTTACTTGGTCTTACATGATTGTAAGCTAGATTTCTATGGTTTTGTTGAAATATAGAATTTCCATATGCACAGGTTTTGTTTTCTCTTTAACCTTGAAGTTGTTTGTGAGATTGTGGAACTTGAGTTTGAATTTAAAGTTCTATTTTTCGTTTGAACTTGGTAATTGTTTATACACCATGTGTTTTTAACTTTTAGCCTTTGATTTGATTGAATTTGGGTTTGATTTTTGGTGGTTTGAAGCTCAGAAAACAAACACAAAAATTCGATTCTGGAACACCCAGAACCGCACGTGCGGCGGGCAGGCTCACACATACGGACAACAAGAGAGGTGCTGGGAGCATTCTGCATAGAAAGCACCTTGTGGCACACGTGCAGCACATGTGCAGAGAGAGTCCTGCTCATGCGGCTGTTTGGTAGCGTCGGTTTCACTTTTCTGCTTCGTTTACCCTACTCCCAGGCCTCCGTTAGTGTGATTTGCATCCGTAATTGACGTCCATTTACACTGCATGGGCATTAAATGAAAGTAAAAGACATTTAGAGCAATCAATTCCTAAGTAGTAAAACTAATTAGCTGGTTATATGGCGAATTAAGTGTGCTACGCTTATATCTGTCTATGTAGGTCAAACGCCACGTTCCAGTCACCTGCATCACGGAGCCAACTGTGAGTAACACTGTTATAAAGATATGTTTAATTTAAAGTACCTTTTTCCTACTGTAAAATTATGCTTTGTTCTGATATGTTTTCTTATATTTATGAATGATGATTCTAATTTTGCTTACACTGTTTATCCTGGCATCCTTAGCATCTGTGCACATGATTACAAAGATCTCTGTCAATTCCAATTCATGGGACTCCTGTTTACCATAGTGATGGCCATCATATCTGATCTTCGATCTTTATGACCGCCTGTTTGGTCTTCTAGACCGCTTGTACTTATTGCTTATGGATTACCACGTATTATATTATGCTTTCTATATGTAATAAGAACCTGCTCAGTGTGTAATTTGCTTTATATTATGATCATCATTTAGAACCCCTTTATGCAGCTGTTATTCATTGGGCTCTAGCTCATATTTTGATATATTATGTAGGTGATCTAGTTCAGGAAAGGACATAGTGGCATCGACCTTGCTTTGGTTTTGTCAGGCTAACCTCTCTGCCGTACTATAAGGTTCCCATCTGTCAGAGTTTTGAGGTGGCCGGTATTCACCTTTTCGCGCATCGTTCCTCTGTTGTGTTCAGTTTTATTTTGCTTTTGTATGTATTGCGACTGGGGATTCTTATGACTTGATGTATATGTTAATTTATGTATATATGGAGTTGGTCATTTGGTCTTATGTAAGTTTTTACAGCTCATTGGACGGTTACTCTTATTCTATAATTAGTATCCGCTAGCCCCGTTTATTTAATCTGTTTAGTTAGGCCTTTAGTAATCTTAGATTACTAGCTGGTTACGACACTAAACCTATAGGGGCAGGTTTGGGTCGTGACAGAGTGGTATCAGAGTACGAGTTGTACCGCACACACACGTCCAAATGAGCTATAGAATGTCCAAGAAAGGAAAGTAGGGCATATTGTCTGCATGCGTAAGTGTGTGTGCTATGTTATGATGTGCCTATGTGGTAATACTACAAGTGTGAACTTTATGTGTCCTATGTTTATTATCACTCTATTTACCTATAGACCAATGGAATAAACAAGACTTACAGAGACATCTGAGTCTTCTGATGCAAGAATGGACCAGCTAGAATGAATGGCATAATTATTGACAGAAATGTTAAGGCAACAATAGAGACAGCCATTTCCACCCTCACCTCTGCTACCAATTCTAGTGGAGTTACCTAACAATGGTGACATTTTTACCCTAACACAGAAGTTTAACAAACTGAAACCGCCTACTTTTCTGGAAGGCCTTGAACCGTTGAAAGCTAAAGCCTGGATTTTGAAGATTGAAAAGTTATTCGAAGTATTCCCATGTACCGAAGAGCAAAAGGTCTTGTTACTAATTTTTACTTTGCAAGAGGAAGCGAGAAGGTGGTGGATGCTAGTCCGGAATCAACAGACTGCCATGACTTGGGCACAGTTTAAGGAAGTTTTTTATGAAAAATATTTTCCACAATGTGTGAGAGACCACAAAGTAATAGAATTTGAGCAACTAAAGCAGGGTACTATGTCGGTAGCAGAGTATGAAACCAAATTCATAGAGCTTACGCGGTATGCGCCACATATGGTAGACACCGATTATAAGAAAGACAGAAAGTTTGAAGGCGGTTTGGACGTTGAGGTTCTTGATCGAATTAATGTACTCAAGTTAGAGAAATATGTTGATGTTTTGGATAGAGCCATTATAGCTGAGACGGATGTTGCTACACTAAGACAAGTAAAGGCACCGATGATTGAATAGAAGGGTAAGAAACCGGGATCTAATTTCAAGAAGGGTCAGAACAACTTCAACACTCCACCGAACAAGAGGCAGAATACAAGATCATCTACTAGCGCAAGCCAAGGGAATGATACACCCATCTGTCCAGAGTGTGGGTAAAGACATAAGGGAGTTTGTCACAGGATTTCTGGCGCATGTTTCCGGTATGGAAAAACATGCCATATAATCAAGGATTGCCCCTTAGTGTCCTAAAGCACAAGCTAGCCTAGGGCTAGCTCAACTGCATCAGTGTCAACACCAAGGGTAAATTCGAAAGCAGCTACGGAGAAAGAAACTCTAAAGCAAGGATGGGTTTTTGCATTGGTGCCGGGTGATATACAGACTACAGAGACGGTTGTGTTAGGTATTCTTCCTATCTGTTCTCAAAATGTTATGTGTTAATTGATTCGAGATCTACACATTCCTTCGTGTCCTATGTTTTTGCTCCAAAATTATTTAGACCCTTGGAACCAATGAAATATGTATTAGTTATAACCTCTCTGGCGGGAAGAGCTATGATCTGTGCATCCATGTATCCTGCATGTGAGATCATTATTGGAGGCATGAGTTTGTATGTAAATTTGTTACCTTTAGACATTGCATATTTTGATGTAATCTTGGGGATGGATTAGTTAGCAAAATATTGTGATACAATTGATTGCTCGACTAAACAAGTTGTGTTTCGTTTACTTGAAAGGCCTGGATTTACATTTAATGGAGATAGTGTCATATCTCCCCCATATTTGATTTCCTTCATAAGGGTTGTAAAGGATTTTTATGTTCTGTGTTCATGGTACCAACTACAACTAAACCTAGTGTGAATAGCATTCTTGTGGTGAAAGAGTTTCCAGATGTGTTTCCAGATGATTTGCCAGGGAATCTAGTTGATAGAGTAATTAAGTTCACTATTGAGATAGTACCGGGTACGCAACCAGTTTCCAAGACCCATTCCGGATGTCAACTACCAAGTTAAAAGAGTTGAAAACTTAGTTACAAGAATTGTTGAATAAGAAATTTATCAGGCCTAGTACATCTCCGTGGAGTGCTCCAGTGTTATTTGTTAAGAAGAAGAATGGAACCCTAAGGCTCTGTATTGATTATCGGGAGTTAAATAAGGTGATAATAAAGAATAAGTACCCGTTGCCACGTATTGATGATTTGTTTGACCAACTACAAGGGGCACAAGTATTGTCTAAAATTAACCTGTGATTTGGGTATCACCAGTTAAAAGTTAAAGCTGAAGATGTGGAGAAAACTGTCTTTCAAACAAGATACGGTCATTATGAATTCCTCGTTATGCCTTATGGGGTTACTAATGTGCCAGCTGCTTTTATGGATCTAATGAACAGAGTTTTTAAGTCGTTCCTTAATGAATTCATTGTGATTTTATTGATGACATCCTGATTTACTCCAAAAGCAAGGAGGAACATGAACATCACTTGAGACTTGCTCTTCAAACATTGAGGGAGAAGAAATTGTATGCTAAATGGTCGAAATGTGAATTTTGGCTGGATAGTGTGATGTTTCTGGGACATGTGATAACGAAAGAGGTTATCTCTATTGATCCACAAAAGATAAAGGTTGTTGTAAATTGGCCGAGACCAGCGAATGTGACAAAAGTTTGCAATTTCTTAGGCCTGGCTGGATACTATCGCAGATTTGTGAAGGATTTCTCAAAAATTGCTTTGCCACTCACTCAATTGACACAAAAAGGAGTATCATTCGAATGGACAGAACCACGAGAGCAAGCTTTTCAAGAGTTAAAGACAAGACTTGTAAAGGCGCCGATCCTCACTTTACTTTCTGGAACGAATGGCTTTACCATTTATAGTGATGCCTCTTATAAAGGCTTGGTATGCGTGTAGATACAAAACGGAAAGGTAATTGCCTATACTTCTCGTCAGTTAAGACCGCATGAAAAGAGTTACCCGACTCACGATCTGGAACTGGCTGCAGTGATTTTTGCATTAAAAATTTGGCGTCACTACTTGTTTGGGGCTACATGTGAGGTGTATATGGATCACAAAAGTTTGAAATATTTCTTTACTCAGAAATAACTAAATATGAGGCAGCGTAGATGGCTAGAGTTGATCAAAGATTATGATCTGCAAATTATGTATCATCCTGGAAAAACTAACACGGTGGCCGATGCCCTTAGCCGAAAATCCATGGAAAACTTAGCTTGTTTACTCACTAGACAGAAAACAGTGTTGCATGAGCTGGCAATAGTTGAAGAGATAAAAAAGAAACAATTGCAAGATGAGTTCCTCAAGAAAATAGTGGATGAACGAGAATTTAAACCTAGACCGGAATTCAATTTTGAGAGTGCTACACTCAAATTTCAAGGACGGTTATGTGTACCAAACGACGGTGATTTGAAAAATGGATCCTCCAAGAAGCCCACAGTTCCAAATACTCTATCCATTCGGGAAACACAAAAATGTATCAAGACCTAAAGAAGAATTTTTGGTAGCCGGGAATGAAAAAGGAAATTGCTGAACTTGTATCCAAGTGTTTGCAATGCCAGCAAGTTAAGGTGGAACATCAACGACCCGTAGGATTACTTCAGCCATTACCAATACCGGAGTGGAATGGGAACATATCACAATGGATTTTGTGGTTGGCTTGCCTCTCTCCAATAAAGGTATGGATTCTATTTGTGTAATTGTAGACCGATTAACAAAATCTGTCCATTTCTTGCTTGTCAAAACGACATATAACGTAGATAAATTGGCTACCATGTATAAGAATGAGATTGCGAGATTACATGGAGGTCCCGTATTGATTGTGTCTGATAGAGATCCGAAGTTCACTTCGAGATTTTGGCTAAGTTTGTAAAAAATAATGGGAACAGAATTGAGGTTGAACAGCTCATATCATCTGCAAACAGATGGCCAATCAGAAAGAACGATATAAACACTAGAGGATATGCTACATATGTGTGTGCTAGATTTCCAGGGAAACTTGGAGACACATTTTCCATTAGTTGAATTTGCATACAACGATAGTTATCACTCGAGTCTTGGCATGGCACCATACGAGGCTCTCTATGGCATGAAATGTCAGTCGCCAATCTGTTGGGCTGAGGTTGGAGATAGACTGTTATTGGGACTCGAACTTGTGCAAGAGACTACAAAGAAAGTGAAGCTAATCCAGCAGCGATTAAAAACAGCACAAAGTCGACAGAAAAGTTATGCTGACGTGCATAGACGAGAAGGAAAATATGAAGTAGGAAATCATGTTTTTATCAAATTTACGCTATTGAAGGGACACACTCGTTTTGGAACTAAAGGTAAGTTAGCACCTCGATACATCAGACCGTATGAGGTCATTGAGAAACTAAGTCTAGTGGTGTACCAAGTAGCCCTACCTCCGGATATGGAACACATGCATAACATTTTCCATATTTCCATGTTAAGAGAATCTCTTTTAGACTCTCAACAAGTTATTGAACCTACTCAGATACTTATGAGTGATGACTATACATATACAGAACGGCCCATCCAGATTATTAGTCGTCATATTAAGAAGTTGAGGAATAAAGACATTTCGTAAGTAAAGGTAGACAGGCAAAACCACAGTGGCATAAATGCAACTTGGGAAAGAGAAGTGGATATGCAAGAGAAATACCCTGAACAGTTTCCATCAGACCCTGCATTCTTC